AACCGAAACACTGCACATCTGTATCTTATATTTTTCAAAGTTTAAAAACTTAATATTTATCTTTATCTAATTCTCCTATCATTTTGATTTTTTCTATTATATATATATATATATATAGTAAAAATTTAAAATTTAATATCTTGTAATTTGATAATTGTCTATTATTGTTGTTTGTTTTCTTCCGATTTTGCTTGCCCCTTTGATTTTATTAGCAAATTTCTTTTTCTTTTAATTATAGCAGCACAAATCTTTGTAAATCATATTCATATAGAAGCATTCTAAAACTGCATCTTAGGGATGAATTTACGTCGAAGATGCATGGATTGCCGTAGGTGGCCTTGCCGCCAATTGTTCACGGGATTATATATTTATCAAGCTCCAAAGATTTATTGGATTGCTTAATTGAAACATGCTTCTAAAGCTATCATTTCCTACTCATCTTAAATCACTCTTGGGAACCATTATAACCGATTACAAAAATATTATTTGATCCACTTAAAAATTTAAAAAATAAAATTTTGAGAAAAAATATTTCTAATTAGTCCAAATAAATAAGTTGCACAGATTTAATTTTAAACTTTTTAAATAAATGTACTAATTAATTAATTTGAAATAACATTAAGACTTCTATTTACTTAAAGAACTATCCACAAGCATGGATAAAAATTAAATTAAAAAATATTATTCTTCAATTTTGATTATATTATCTATATTTTAAGGATGAAAAATCCTAATTATAGTAATTTTTTTATAATATATAATCAAATTTATCTTCATTGTAATAAAATATAAGACTATAATTATGTCTTAGGGACGTTATCACACAACAACAATTAAAAAAACTCTTATAATTATTACAATTAATTTCCAATAAACAACCTGTGGAATAAAGGATAGGCATGAATTTTGTTTGGTGAACAAAAACCAAAAGAAGCAGCAGCCAAGAAAAATAAAAAAACAAACCAAAATACCAAACAATTCCGATTTTTACAAATTAATGAATTTGATTCAATTTAAAGTAACAACTTTTCCTGCTTCCTTTGAATTAAGAAGTTTAAAAATTCATAAGACATTATTTTCTTTTGGACATAGATCAATTTGCAAAATAAGTATAATTTTTAATTTGTTCAATATGACAAAATACATAATTTCAATATAATGTCTAATAATAAAGGTCGGTGTTAAAATGTTTCAAATTAAATACATGAAAAAACCAAAATCAAGTCGATAATGATAAAGTAGGGATATAATATTACTTAATATATCCATTTTCATTTATTTTTATTATTTAATTAATTTTTAAAATTAATTATTACATTTCCATTTTCAACTAAATTTTAATTAAATATGTATAAAGAATTTCTCATATTATAAAGTATTAGGGAAGAATTTAAAGACTAAATTAAGTCTAAAACCCAAATTTTGACCTGTTTAACCATTTTTTAAAAAAATTTAAAGCGCTAAATTGATCTGAAAGAATCTAAATCTGAGCTTTTTTATTCCATTAGATAAGTTAATAGGCCAAATTAGCTTTATTCTTTTTATTATTATTATTGGTTTCATTAACTCGTTAGCTTAATTTTCTTTTGGATCATTTATTTCATTTTGCACACTACTTATATCTGTTTCGTGTTTTTTTTTTTTTTTTTTTTTTTTTTTTTGCCATTCCCAAATGAAACAAAATAATTTTTAAAATAAATATTTTTGCAGCACAACCTCATACAATCTCCTTTGAGGGCATATACTATTATTTTGCAAAAATAAAAGACTCATAGCTTGATAATGGATATTTAACTGACAAATTAAAATATAACTAATCTTATAGATTTTAAATAATTGTATATTTTGCCTGAAAAAAAAATGCAAATTTCTTCATATCATTATTTCCAAACAAAACTCAACTAATACATATGCAATAATGATTGAAGTATTAATTTTAAACTATAATTTTTAGTTTAAATATATACTTTGGGAATGCCGAAAGATAGTTCTTGCACTTAATATTACATAAATAAGAGGCAGATATATATAATATAACCTTATAATAAATGGCCACGAAAATAAATAATAATAACATCAAAAAATATTAATACATTGCTTTGAAATCCAAATGTTGGATTTCAGATTAAAATTAAAGAAAAAATAATTAGTTGTAAAGGCAATATACGATTAATATGCGAAATTGCCAATTCAGATTGCAGCCATGGAAAATGAAAAGAAAAGCAGTATTTGAAAAAGAAAAATTTCATCTATAAAATAGCAAAAGGAGAGTTATAAAAGAGATTGCTTTGCACTCTTTCTCCGATTTCGTGTCTGATCGATCTGCTCAATCAGTTCAAAGCCAAAGCAAAAATTAAGATGAGTAATTCCCCATCTATCTTTCTTTTCCCATTAATTGGGTCCCACCACACTTTCTTCTTTCTTCTTCTTCCTTTTATTCTTTCTTTCTTCTCCCTTTCTAATCCTTCTTTCTCTTCCTCTCCTCTTTTTTCTCTCTCTTTCTTCTACTTTTCATCCACTTTTGCTTCTTCCATCTATGAATATTTCCTCCCAGCATTGCATTAAAAAACGTCGGGTAACATGAAAAAAAAATGAGAAAATGCCCATGGACTCTGGATTATACTTTACGAAACAGAGCATTATGTGTTATTGTTAGACTCAGTAATTCTTCAGTGAGACCCCAAAATCAGGTGGAAGGGAAAATGAATGACATGAATAGAAAGCAGAATAAGAGATGCACATCCAAATAAATGAAGAGTCAGCATTTTTAATTCTGTATTTAATAAAAAAAAAACTGATAATTTCAAAAACAGCATGTGTGAAGGCATTAACCACAAATTTACGCCAAAAAACTATTTTTTCTTATTAAGCCAGCCATGATAACGATTTGGCTTTATAGACAACAAAATATTTGAGTAACTAGATAGTAGACAACCAACAGAAAAGGAAGTAAAAACCAAATGGAAAAAGGGTAAAATAGGTAGTTGATTTTCGAAACATGGCTTGACCTCTTGGGGTTTCACAGAAACAAAAAATCCTATTAAACTGCCCCCTAAGCCACCAACGCCGCTTATAGGATAAGTTTTTAAATTCTTTATTTCTTCTTTAACGTTCATGATCCCTGACATTCAAAATAAAAGAGCTTGATGAAAGAGGTAGCTAGTGTTTGGAGCAACTACAAAATATTGTAAGTATCAGAGTTCAGAAAACATGGAGATGAAGCTGAACCCAACTCTTGATCTTTTATTATTGAGTAAAGAGAAAGGTGGTACGTAGAAAGCGGCTGCAAATACCACAGATCAAAACGCAAGACACTGCACATCTTATATCTATATTTTAAAAGTTTTTAAAAACTTTAATATTTTATCTTTTTATCTACTATCCTCTATCATTGATTTTTTTTTTTTCCTTTATATATATATATTTTTTAAAATTAAAATTTAATATCTTTGTTAATGATTAATTTGTCTATTTAGTTCTTGTTTGTTTTCTTTCCGATGCTTCCTATCGATTTATTAGCAAATTTTTCTTTTTTCTTTTTAATGGTATAGCAGCACCAAATCTTTTAAGATCAGTATTCATGTAGAAGCATCTAAACTCCATCTTGGATTGAATACCTCGAGATGCGATGATTGCCGTAGTGGGCCTTGCCCGCATTGTTTCACGATATTATATTTATTCAAGCTCCAAGATTCATTGGATTGCTTAATTGAAACATGCTTCTAAGCTATCATTTCCTACTTCATTCTTTAATCAACCTTGGGAACCATATTAACGATATACTCAACAATTATGATTCACTTTAAAAAAAATTTAAAAAATAAAATTTTGTGAAAAAATATTTCTAATAGTCCAAATAATAATGGTTGCAACAGATTTAATCTAAACGTTTTTAAATAAATGTGACTAATTAATTTAATTTAATAAGATAAACTTCTATTACTTACTAAAAGAAAAACTATTCCACAAGCATGCATAAAAATTAAATTAATAAAATAATTTTCTTCAATTTGTTTTATATTATAATCTCCAAACATACACTCCAAAATGAGTTAATGCAATGCAAGATTGAGAGAATCACGTATTAATACTCCAAACCTAAAAGCTTTTGAAAAGCTTTTGCCTATCTTTATGCGACTTTAGTAACTACCACAAAAAAAGTTGAAGTAAAACAATATCAATCGCAGATTCCATGTATGGTTTTTTCAAATTAAGAGCCCAGCGAAACCAGATTAAAAATGGCCAAATTATCAAAGTAATTTTTTGTCTTCAAACCTTATAAAAATGGAGTTTTTACAAAGGAGACTGAAAGGAAAATGTTACATAAGAGCTATATATGAGGAGCTGGTATTTGCTGTAGCCACGCTTTGCACTCTTTAGATAGTCTGCCCTTATTGCCCACAGTTTGTTCTCCTTACTGTTTTCATGTGTCCGGGTCATCTGCTCGAATCGGTGCAGCACATTTGAATTGCTAAAAGCAAATATTTTTCATGAGTACTTCGCCCATGCTACTCTTTTTCCATTAAGATCCACCAAACCACCACACTTCCTTCATTTGTTACTTTCTAAGGCCTGAAAATTTAAGATCATAGCATATGAGTTTTTAGTAGCTTGAAAAAGCGACAATACATGCAATATATTGGGGATAATGACGCTATTAATAACGATGCTTAATACATTACTCGGTTAGCCCTCTTCCAAAATCAACTTTGATTTTATGAAAATAAAAAACAAAATCCAAAAATTTTATTAACTTATTAAAAGGATTAGAGTTAACTATTGAAGACTTTCATCCATTCAATACAAACATCGCTCCGCATGGGACATTCTACTGTAATACCCTTATCTTATTCATTGCCACATATACCAAGGTATTCAATATTAGGTGACCATAATACAGCAAACTAAAATGGCAGAGACGAATAAGCTTTACCCATCTAAGTGGTAGACCCGCTCATCTTGAGGTCTTCTTCAAGCTCCCACAGAGGCGGCGACCCTGGTCAGAATTCTAGAAGCGAAATCCCAAATGAGTATACATCACTCTTTGGAGTGAGTTGGTACAGGTCTTCATATATTCAGGGTTCAAGGTAACCCACTGTCCCATTCAGCTTTGGTCTGAAATATGGGTCTGATTCAGAGTCCATCGGACCAAGTCTTTGGCAAATCCAAAATTTCCGCAAAACCTTGGCCCGTCATTGCTTTCAGTCAAAAGAATGTTGGGAAAGATTTAACATCTCGATGGATAATCTGCTTTTCTGATTGTGAGGGTAAAAGGAGCATAAAAAGCCCAAGGGCAGAACATAAAGTCAAAGGGTCTAGGCAAACCAAATAAGCTAAATAATTACCCATTAATCTATCAAGATCTGGAAACATGTCAGGAAAAGAATGATATGCATATAATACCAGTGTATTAAAAAAGTTTTGAGTCATGTATAAAAAGCAACGACCCAATGCACTGAAGCATCCCCAGTATGTGTGGCTCTAGGGATTTGATGTATGCATTGACGGCAGGGAGGAGGAGCCAGGAGGTGGCCCCGCTCACTTAACCCAAAATTCTCTTTAAAATAGTAAATTTTTTAATTTTTCCGCCCAAGTAACTCTTGAAAACTTATGCCCCCTTTAGCTATAATTCCACTCTGTTCATTTGATGCATTGGCAGTCTCCCCCCCACCTTTTGTAGAGGCAGCTGTTTCAATTGGATTGACCTCTAGGTCACAAGTGGGGTAAGTTTCAGTACACCAAAGCCACCCTCTTACCTAAAATAAAACCAAAAAAATGAATATGAGATAAAAGTATTCAATATTGGTATCGTTATAGCAATGTTAATTATGGTGGAGCAAGTATATAATATATAGGGAAGATTAGGATTTATTTTGCTCCTGATAGCAATGCAAAGACTCCAAGAATGACGTTAATAGAGTCCAAAGGTTGGTAATTTTCTTTTTTTTTTTTTTTTTTTTTTTTTTTTTTTTGCAGAATGGAGCCAGTATAATGATGACTTTGTAGACACATAAATTTTGCAGTAGAGGACATAAACATGATGGTGGAAGATAGGTGAGGACAATTAATGCGCTGGATGAGAAAAGTTGCAATAACACCTTTGCTTACATCATATTCCATAATAAGCATTTAGCTATCTCAACAATATGGACAGAAGGTAGGAGGTTTTTCAACATATGGTTATGTTGTTATCCACAAATTCAGATGTTTGTTGAATTTGCAAGGCCTGAAAGTAATTCAGGTCAGTTCATATGTTTTGAAGGTGATAACTAACAGTGTCTTGAAATTATTTTTCAGTGAGAAATAAAATTGGTATCAATTGAGGGCCACCTTCATGAACATTGCATTAGAGAAATGTAGAGAACATACACTGTGACGAAGGAAATGAGGAATAGGTGAAACAACTTCTGGGCACTTCTACTGAAAAGGAACACTTTTCTAAACTGCGGGAAAAAAAATCTAATAGATAAAATTTGGGGCTTTCTATATTATATGTGTCGAACACCATAAGGCGGTAGAGTTGAGATTACTGAAATAAAAATGGAAAGGCAGCTGTGACTCTAAGAATACTTGCAATTTTTAAACCATCTATGTTGGTGCTCGGAGCAATTGTTGATTAATGCACTTATAAAAATGCTACTAGCACAAATATAATATTGTGCAAGAATTACAGATTCCCTAACTCCATGCTTATAAACTTTCTCGATTGGTTATCTGGATTCAATTAAATTTCCTACTTTATGGAATTTCACGAACAATTAAGAAAAATGAATAATGTCTAACCTGCATATGTATGGAGATAAGTTAGTGCATGAGCAACATTATCAAAATAGATATTTCAAGCCTTTTGGTTAAAGTCCAGAATTTTCCACGCTGAACCTGCAAAGAGTTACACAACAACCATTAGTAAAGGTTAATCATCAAGATTTGAAAAATTTCATGTGATCTGACCATATGACAATAAGCTACCATCAAATGTTCTCTAAGAGGTACCATTAGGTACAAATTCTTGTAAAATAAATTAAGGCGGCTCATTTCCTTTATTTCAACGTAACCAAAGTAACTTCACCAGATTCCGGTGATCAATTTGCCAGAAGTTCAACTTTCAACTTGACTGAATTCAGTTCGCAAGCTCTCATAGGTGTTCCTATATTAATGTTTTCTTATCAACCAATAGAAAATGCTTAAGAGAATAATGTGGGCTAATTTTGCAGAGCCAATGCTTAAGAAAGGACAATATGAAAGCCACTCCCAGACATTCAAAACAATAACTTATTAACACAAAGAACAAAATGGGAGAAATTGAAAAAATATAGACCATACCAGAAAACCTAGCATGGTACTTATAATGTGAAGCGAACAAAATGCCTTATTCACCTTTCTATTATGTGGCTGCAAGTAAGGTAAGGAGCTCTTTGGTGGTTCCTAGCCGCATGTGCATTGCAATTCAAGTAGTTCTATGCATTATCATTATCACTTGAGAAATAATGGATTGCACATTTCTCCAAGTCTAGCAATCAGGGTATGACAAAGCTATTTGTAACTAAGTTCAAAAAGGAATTACTTGTTACCTGTCTTTGCTCGTTTTATAAGCAACCACCTGGCCCATCTTCTAACTGGGCCCTGTAGACAGTTCCAAAGCCACCCCTCTCCTATTCGAAGTGCAAGCGAAGAAAGATTATGTGTGGCTCTTTGCAACCTGACTCATATTGAGAGATGAATTGATCCCAATCTACTAAGTTTTGGGATGGACATTTGAAAATCTGGAAGGACTAGGTGGCACGCGAAATGGACTGGGTGGAAACTTTTTCAGAAGCAGTATTTGCCATCAAAGAGGAAATCGAATCCCACTGCAACAACGCAATTTAAGGAAAAATATCAATTTGAAATAGGGTCTATCAACAATTTCAAATAAATCAATCGGCAATGGCCATTATACATAGGCCAAACTTTAACATTATATATATTACAACACACCAACTTTAACATCTGTAACAAGCCGTTGCAACTAATTTCGCATCTTAAAATATAAATAGAGCATAATTTGAAGGCACTGAAAGCAAGTAATACAGATGGAATTGATGAAAGTTATATGCAGAGTTGCTGAAAGATAATTGGCTTATAAAAGCAGTGTGCAAGGGTAAGATTTGAAGTGGACTCCAGGAAACAGAAAGCCCAAGCGCTGGCAAGGGAGTGGTTCATGGCCAATAGCACCCTAGTTGATGACATCCTCTCTACAGGCTGGACTCAAGCACCACAAAGAAATGAAATAAACTGGATAAACCGAAAAATAAGGAGAGGTACAGGTTCAAGGTCAGCTATTGGCTATCTTAAGGCTCGCTATAATTCTTTTAAAAATGGTTGAACTTTGGCACTAAAATTTTGAATAAATTAAAAAACTCTACGTAATGAAAATTGGTTGATTTTAAATTTTTGGTCATTTGGCGCCAATAGACTAAATAGAAAAATAAAGTCACATAATTCAAAATTTTTAACAGTTCTACTCTTAACCTCAATTTAATTCAAAGATAATTATGAAACTGCAGGATATGAATATCAACTGTAAAAGTTGTTGAAAAGTTTGTTTGTCAAACATTGAAGATGGTGGAGATATGAATTGTTGTTTACTAGACGCACATGAAATTGGATCCTTGGAAAGAACAGTGTGGGAAGTTGCTTTCCTTTTCCTGTAAAAAAACATGGACACAGAAGGACCACAAAAGCTCAGGCAACAAATTCCAGTTGCAATATGCCAACCTTGTTGGAGGTTGAAAGGTGGTAGAATCATTGATTCTTCTTCTTTGTGGGAATATCCTCTCCAGTATCAATTAGATTTTTGGACTGTCCCTTGACCTTCTTTTCCAAACTTTTCTTCCCGCTTCAGGGTTAAGATCAGCTACCAAACAGTAACAGTTAATTAGAAATTCACCTTAGTACTGAATGCACAGAATTGGCAAGTTTAAAAAAAAGTGGACTTCATAAATTTCTCAAGTAGGAAAACCAAACCTAGAATCTGGTTCAGCGCGATACCTTAATGAAAGGTCCAAACCACAATAGCCACTGCTGCGATATCCCTCAAAGATGCAACCATTGCATTAGTGGAAGTGGAGAGGCATTACAAAATGGAATCTTGGTCTACAAGACTTCCATTAATATAAAACAATTCACGACCATGAAATTTTGAATAGACCAGTGTGGTCAGTACACAAAACCTTTAATTGTATGTTCAATCCAGCCAGCAAGTAATACTTTGAAATTTGCACCCATATAAAACAACAAAGCCAATGCTGAACTGCCATTCTCAGATGATGTAATATGCTCCCATTTCCATCTTTGAGTATTTAAATATAAAGAAGAAACATCACTATATTCTGCAAAAATCCCAACGAAGCTTATATTAAACTGAAGAGAAAATACATAACGGCAACCTTGGAAACCTTAGAGATTCAACCAATGTAGTTCACATCCAGTGGCACTTTTACCAATCAAGTAGAGAAACCCAGGAGAGAATAATAATTAGCATGAAATTTTATCAATTCGTGTGGAGAAAATCGAGATAGAAATTAAAGCTGGAAGTTCAAAGCCCACCAATCTTCTTGTTCACATGTTCTTTAGTGCTCTATACATGTAGCTCAATTTTGGACATCACCATGAAAACTCAACTGAACTTCTCCCGATCCAGTTCACCAATTGACAAAAACGAGAACCCAGTTAAGAAAGTAGCTGGAACTCAGAACACCAACAGAAACTTCAATTCAAGGGATTCAAAACTGTCCTAGATAAGGAATTTATCCAATGTCTCCGTTTCAACCGCAAAAAATACAAAATGTAGTCTTCAAGGACAAAAATTCACAAAACTTTGTTAAAATATTTGATAATTTTTGATGTTGACTTTCAATCACTTCCAAATGAACTAAATTAATTAGTTGTTCCAGTTCCTTTGGTACCCTGCCTAACCAAACTACCAATTTAGTGTTCAAAACCCAGTTGCTAAAGTAGCTGCAAATTAAAATCCCACCTTCTCAAAACCTCGAAAATTGCCAAAAAAGCTATACGTGGAACCAAAGTATTCCTTACCACCCACATCACCAAATGATTAAAATAAATCAAAACCCAGGTAATTAAAGCATCCAAAACAAATTTTACAATTTCTTACACTAATAAATAACAAAACCAATGATTTAAACTAGTTTAAATTAAAAAAAAAAAAAAAAAAAAAAAAAAACCCAGAAGGAGAAACAAAATTAGCAAAGCCACATGAAATAGTATATCCTTACATAGGAATAAGATAAGAAAGTAATAAAAAAATCAAACCTGAACAAAAGAAAGCCGGCTAAGGGAAATAAAGACGACTGGATTTTGGGTGAGAGAAGAATCAAAAGAAAAGAAGAAAAGTGAAGATGACCGGCCCTCGTGATTTAGTTTCAGACTTTTGATTTTTGGTTTGGAGAAGAAAGGAAGAAGAAGGAAGAAGGAAGGAAGAGGTTGTGAACAGGTGATGTAACTTGGTTGCCGTCTCCAATTTAAGTAATTACTTTTATATTAGTATATAGTTATATTAAAGCAAAGCCACAAAGAGAACCCAAACGCTGGACAAGATGACCGTTGGAAAAAATTTTTATGTCAATTGCTTGGATTTTTGGATTGAAAGATTAATTACATCGCTATGTTTCCTCGAAATTTCTTTTTCTTCATTTTAAACCATATTTATGAGGAATTCTTTTTCGTTTAGCAATTAATAAATTACTCACCTTTTTAGACAATTGAAAATAAATAATTTAATTAATTAGTACTCCTGTCCCTGTGCATTTAAAAAAAAAAAAAGAAAAGAAAATAAAAAACAACTACCAAATGATTGAGTGTCCCACATTTCTACTAAAATATTCCCTTTGTTTTTCTTTTATTGCCAAAGTTGATATAGTTTAGGAGTCCCTCGGTTTCATAATTTATTATGTCCTAATTTTCCTTTTTCGTTCATCCCAAAAATATATTTCATTTTTATAAATAAATTGTATTTAAATTTTATTTTTTTATAAAAATGAAATAATATTTTTGGATGAACGTGAAAAAAGAAATTAGGATAAATAATTATTGAAACCGAGGACTCCTAATTTCCTTTTTTCGTTCTATCCAAAAAATACTATTTCATTTTATAATAAATGATATTTAAATTTATTTTTTATTTATTTATATACTCCTTTATCAATTAAATACCAATAATCAAAATTACTACATTCCTTCATTGATTAAATATTAAATATTCTTAATTAATAAAATATAAATTTATAAAACACATAAATTATTAGAGAATTATTTAACAATTATAAAAGACTTTAGCCGTTTCCGTCTTTTATATCCGGAGCTAGGCTGCTTAGTATTTCCTCTTTTATATGAAGAATTGGAGGGTCATGAGTCTATTAATATTATGTTTTTGTCACGTGTACAGCTGAAATCAAAGACTAGGTAATGAAAACGACATTAGATATGAAGTTTATGGCTATCATATTAAAAGTCTTTTATTTTCTTACTTCCTTTCTTTTATATTTTTTAGATAATTTTTTTTTATCTTTAAAAATACACATAAAGTCCAAATTTATTCTTCATTAAAAGGATATATTTTATATTACTAATTTGTGACTTGTATTAAATATTAAAAATTAGATTCGTCAAATACCTTAAAATTATTATTAATTCCCATAAATATGTTAAAATAATTTCACTTTAAAGATAGATAATTAAAAAAATTAGATTGAAATTATTATAGAATATTATGGTTTAGGACTTTTAGTTAAAATATGTGGATTAAAGTTAAAATAGTTTAAAAAAATAGTATATATATATTTAAAAAATAAACTTTAAAAGTTAATTGAAATTTTAGGAGATTATGTAATTGTTCATAGATTCAAGTAAAATTTGGCCATTGATAAAAAATAAAAGAAAGCAAAATTAGTTGTTGTTAAATTTAATAAATTTATTTAAAGTCATATTTTAAGATTCTTAAAATTTGAATTGCTTTATTATTTAAAAAGATTTTAAATTGAAAGTTTATGTAGATGCAAAAAGTTAATATTTAAATAATTTAAATCTAATACATAGCCAAAAAAAATTATATATGGGTATTGAAAATTTTTAATTTATTTTATAATTTATTTTTTGATTTATTTTTATTAAAAATAATTGATGAGGAGTAAATTCTTTTTGGAATTCAAAATAATAATAATAAAGAAATATAAGATAATTTTTATTTTAAAAAAAAAAATGAATACAAACATGTTTTAAAGTGCTAAAAAATCAATTTTTAATTTTTAAATCTATGTCTTATATTTAATTGTATTAATCTAATGGGTGAATAAATATTTATGTTATAATAAAGAAGAAAATCTCAATTTTATACGGTAGTTTCACCCAAAGTTAACATACACTTAAGACCCCCGCCAGCTATCATGCCAAAGTGTAAAACCGATTTTCAATTTTCACGTTGGGATTGAAGAATTGTTTCACCAAAACAAGATTTAAAACAAAAGCAATTTAATTCAATTTTAGCATTAAAATAAAAATTTTGTATGTAAAAAGATGTCTTCTCATGATGGTAGATGCGAAGTTGATTCTTCCCAATTCTACTGGACAAAAGTGGGGTATGAACTCATGAGAAAAGGCCCACCAAGAGAACACCAAATTCATGTCATGTTGCATGCCAACCTGGCCTTTTGTCAAATCCACCAATCCCCACTCCTTTTGCTAACTCCTGAGTAACACATCCAATAATCTCAAAGATTTTTAATCATTACTCTCAAGTTATTTTAGTTGTATGAGAAGAACAATGAATTTTTGGTTGTCCAAAAATTATTATAGCTATTTTGCCAAGAAAAAGTTGAAGAATAAGTAAAGAAAAATGATATTCTTTGTTAAGTGAAGTTTGGATTAACCCCGTGTCCGTTTAACCAGCAAAGTTATTAAATTCGCTCGCTCTTCTTCGACGGTAAAGGGTATAAGTTTGAGGATTTTCATTGTGGAGTTATCAAACTCATGACCTAAGAACGGTGATGAAACCAGCGCCAAATAGTTTAATTTTGGAAGGGTTATAGCCTCTTCCCAGACCTCTTAAATCCTTTCTCTAAACCTTAAATTGTGGTGATCAATCCTATAAGTGCTTTTTTACCATATTTACCTTTTCAGATTATAATTTATAATTTTTACTCTAACATGATGCTCAAATTCACAACCAACAGTATTTATTTCTAAAAAGGAATTTATATTGACGGTTAATGATTAGGAGTATATTTTAAAATGTTTAGATAAATAATGACATTAAAATTATATTATATTGAGATTTGCATTTTATTTGATTCATAATTTTTTAAGTCTATTTCGTTCTAAAAAATAACTTACCTGTAAAATATTTTATGAACTTGTTGATCCTTTGGAGTCTTTTTAAAAAGAATCAATTAACACAAAAATTTTTCTACCTCAAAAAACAAAAATTAAGCAATTTTAAAAGAGAAAATGTCCTTTCTCAAAAAAAAAAAATTTTTTTTGATATTAATAAAACTATAATAATACTATAAAATCATAAACACATATTATTAGCTATCAAGCCTTACAACTGTTTATAACCGCTATCAACTGATGATGAATATCTAAGCCTTAATAAACTATTCTTAGAATTGAATGCAGTTCCCATTTTCAACGATTGTTCCACATTTTTCAATCCATTTTTCAAGGATCAGTCCCACTGATAAATGAGAATTATTTTAAAACGAGACCTCCAATGCATATCATTAGGCAACAAAAAATATTTATTTAATTAAAAATTTTGAATGTCAAGAGTCAAATAGAATTGAAAAATATATTCATTTCTTTAACCAGACTCAATTTTTCTCAAAATTAACTCTTTTGATCTTACTCTTACTATTAGGGCTAATATCTTATTTTTTGTTACCGCGGTTATTTTGCGATTGATATAAACTTAATAGTTAAATAATTTTAACAAAATATTGGTGAATTATTATAATTGTTGTATGCAATCATTTATGCCTAACTAGCCTAATTTTATATACTTATTAATTAAGATAAATAATTATATATCCTTAT